CACACACACACACACGCCACAGAAATAGGTGAAGTGAGTGTTTGATGGTCCAACCAGCTGCCTTACAGAACTCTAAGAAAAGAGAGAATGAGGGGGTAGGGGAGTAGAGAGAGGTAGAGAGAGGTTGACAAAGAGACAAAGACAGAGAGAGAGAGAGAGACAGACAGACAGAGAGAGAGAGAGCGAGAGAGGGGGGCATGTCTGCTCTTGTTGGTGTGCAGAAGGCTTTGGGGTTGACTCCTTTGAACCCATGATGAGCCAAATTCCATCCTCACATCTATGGGAGGAAGTATCTTACATGCACACACACACACACACACACACACACACACACACACCAACACAGAAAGGCATGCACGCACCATCATGTTCCATCCTAAGTCTTCTCTGCTGCCAGACGCCTGTTATCATCTGTCACCTGGTGTCATTTCAGCGAACATATAGACACACGCGCTTATGTAGACACAACATACACACATAATTGCATACATAAACACACATACATGCATGTAAGACCGGAGCGAGGGCATAATTAACATCTAGAAAACCACACAGAGGAGCTGGCAGCAATCCAACAGTCTCTTTTCCCGCTTTCTCCGCTTTGCTTTCTCTGTGCTATAAGAATATACATACTATCATATGGCTGGACACATTCCACTTACTTCAAAGACCTCTGGTGAACTGAATGTGCATGATTACAGGGAGGGCTTGCTTTAAAGGGCCTCAGAGAGAAAAAAACCTGAGAGGGAGAGACGGGGAGAAAGAAGGGGAGAGAGAAAGCAGCTGGGTTGGTGGTAAACATCTGGTGGTTGTGGAGGCCTGGCCCTGACATACAGGGGAAATAGCTGCAACTCTGTTCCAAGATCTGCTCCCTCCAGTCTTTCCTCATCCACTCCCCTCCTAAGATCTAATCTAATGTGACTGGCTGTCTGTAAAGGTCCAATACGTCACTCAGGGTTGCCCCACTTTGGCTCTGTTAACGTATTCATTTGAATCAATATGTTTTTTTGTTTTTTTTATTCATACACAAAGGTACATTTGGTACAACTCCCTATTGTACAATGTTCCCATTGTATAAAGCCATGGGAACATCTTCCTGATATTGAGTTACAGCCCCTGTTGCACAACAATTCACTTCTCATTTGTTTAAAAGTTTGTAAGCCCTTCCCTAACTCATCTGCTTCTCTTTATCGACATCTTCTCCTTTGTGATTAATACAGATTTAATAGAGGAGATCAATAAGAGATACAGACTTTAACATAGATTTACCGCATTAGTGTATTGCACAAAAATATAAATATTATTATCATTTCAACTTTTAAACCAACAGCGACAAGAAGCCATTGAAGTGGTCCGAAATAAAGGACACTTGAACACGATTATTTCAATGATAACTTGGTAAACTCCATCTGCTGATCAAGTGATATGATTGAAAACTCCAGAACAGCGACTGTATTACGTGGATCATGAGGTCAGAATGCTTTGACAACTATAAATATTGTGATGTGTACACTCAATGTCCTATTTATAACTGCTTGGCTTTTTATAAACACAGCTGGCTTGTACGCAGGTGTATTTTGAATGAAAATGAAAAGCTTGTGGGTATTTATACTCCAGTTAAGATTTATTGCGTATAGCAGCTAATAACAAGGTAGTTAATGTCCTAGTATATGCAGGAATGTGACTTGAATCTTGAAAAATGCAATATCATAAACAATTTAAGGTATTTCTGAATAGTTTCTGTCAGAGACTAATGCTACATACAAATATCCATCCCTTAGTTTATAATAGCGGCATTCCAGCCCTTGGATGGACAAAAACGCAAGATAATTAAGTCCTCGTTTTTCCCCCAGTCAGGCCTCAATAACCTTGTTATTTTTAGTTTGACTGATTGTTTTTTAGTTTTTCAAAATAGGATTTTTATAAATCATAGTTTGTATCTCCCATGATAAATTAGGATACGCATTTTTTTAAAGTGTGAAATTTAGAAATGTAGTCATTACTGTGTCAAAGCTATTTAACATTAGACAGGTCTCATAACTTAGTAGTTAGATCTGTCCATTTAAGCACATCCTGCATCAACCTGACAATATAAGACAGTCCAGATTTGTGAGCTGGTACAGATGTTGTTATGCAGTTACGACTGCAGGAAATATCACTTTAATATCGCCAATTAAACGAGACCAATGAGGGCAATACTGCAAATCAATAAGCAGAACTTATTTATGCTTTTATTTAATTATTGTCATAGATTATATGTTGGATTTTTCTTTGCTAATTCGCAGGAATATACCAAAAATGGACATGGTAACTGAAAATCAGTTTCTTATCAACGATAGCTAACAATAGATATAAAATTGTTGGACACTTGATGTTGGCAGCAGGTTAAAAAGATTCATTTCCGAAGCTAAATGCTCTTATAGTTAGTATAGCAGAAACACCAGTGGATTTTACTCCCCTGTGGGGTGCCCTGTAACTCACCTGGTAGAGCTGGCACCCCCATGTACCAAAGCTGAGTCCTTGCTGCAGTGGCCATGGACGGATGGAGTCCGACCTGTGGCCCTTTGCTGCGTGTCATCCTTTCTCTCTCCCTACTTTCCTGTCAATCTTCTATAATCAATTTATGTATATATTACTCCCTGTCATAAAGAAAGTAAATTAAAAGAAGATTTGGATGGGTGAACTCTTTTATTTACTGCTTAAATGAATTTATAGAAAATGTTATCACATAAAAATGACTAGAACATTTAATCCATATTTCCCTCTCTGGAATAAAGAGCATTTTGTGGTTTCTCTCAGGTACATCCACCTGTAGTGTGTGTATGAAGAAGAAGAAGAAGAATTACAAGATAGATATTACAAAAGTACAAGTAAACTATGAAACAACTAAATATTAATGAGCCCATACTGCAAAGGAATTTTGTAATTAACCCAGTTTGTGTCAGTGGTACATACAGTATCATACACTATTCTGCAGTTAGGGGGCTCCACTGTGTCTGTGCTCACTGTGTATAACCTGAGCTGTGCTTTTGGTGTGAGAGCAAGATTTTTCTGCCTGCCACATCAATTTCCCCTTGAGGATGATCAGTGTTTATCGAATTGAACTAAATTGAATTGAATTCCTTACAGGCACACTGTCCTGATCCAGGACCTTTTTTTTCTCTACTGGCTTAGAATTACACCAGTGGCTGTTTTCTTAGTGCAGTTTCTGGAATGTGTGTGTGTGTGTGTGTGTGTGTGTGTGTGTGTGTGTGTGTGTGTGTGTGTGCCAGTAGAGAGAAATCTAGAACTCAGGGGCAATGAGTGTATTTGGCTGAGTCTGCTTGCTTGAAAATACAGAAAGAAAGAGGGTGATTACAGTTAGAGACAAACACGCACATAACTGACGGAAACCTTGTTGTTAATTCAACAGCTTGTTTTTGTGTTGTTTGCACTCACTCTTTACATCGCTTGCAAGTGAAAGGAGCACCAACTTAAAATGGACCAAGGTTTTTTGTCATGCCTGAAGGATTCTTCACATTTTTCAGTCTGGGGCCAAAATCTGACAAATTTGGTTGGCTGTCAGTTTCACTGTCTAATGACTGGAAAAATATACTTGATGTCGAAGACTTTCTACATCTGTTCTAGCATTAAAATGCACTAGAAATCATTTAGTAAATGTAGTTGGTTTTTTCATCAAATGGTGGATATGTTGGTTTGTAATGAAACTATGTTTGGCACCAAGATGCTTGGCAGGTTTAATGCTTTGATCCTGACATTACTTGTTGGCATTAATGTTTTGATTTCAAGCACCAGCACGCCCAATTAATCTCCTCCACAGGTAAAACAACTCTGTGTATACATGTAACAGTGCTGTTATGCATCCAGTTCATGGAGGTGGAATGGATATTCTGTGTTACATCTAGATAGATGTCTTTATAGTAACTCACTCTAAAACATATTAACACCAATTTCAGAACAGATTTGATTCTTATTTTTCGGTATCATGATGTTTCTCCTTAAGCACCTGTAACCCTTGGACCTGTCAGCTGAGGGATGCCGGGCTTCAGTGCAGCCACCAGAGGGACTTTGGCCTGTTGTCTAAGTTGTTTTGGAGGCACTGGGACTGAGGTTTGACCCACTTGACACACTCAAAATCTGCTATGGACGCACTACTTTGCACATGTTATGTCTGTAGGAAACAATTATATATCCCTCTAATATTGACATGAATTTCTTAATTTTGTTTCTTTGTGCTAGTGGATACAATGTAAGTAAGACCAGTAAGAGCATGGTGATGCTGGTCAGAACAGGCAATTTGCTTTGGTATGAAGATATTCTGTGCCCTAATGAAAGATAAATGCGAACCAGCCTAAACTGGATTCGGCTTGCTTTTATTTGCAGAAGAGTTCACCCACCTTTCTGGGCTGACAAGCCCTTAGAACAGAAAGACACAAATTATATAAATCTTTAGGACACAACTGATGTGTAATACATGAAGATATGGAAAAAGAAGAAAATTATTTTTTAAATGCTGTAAGTGGTGTTTGGGATGTCAAAACTGATGTTTCTTTGCAGCCTTATAACTGTTTTCTACCTGATCAATGTTCATCACTGAGGCAATAACATGGTAATACAACATTTGTTATAAATTTATATTTGTTAAAACAGCTCTAAGCTTTTGTTCTGAGGATCAGAATGAATCTATAAGTGACTACTATTTTAATATTGATATATATTAGGCTAATGAATCAGAAACAGACTAATAGCAAGTTTAGAAATGACCAAATATTGCTTGTTTAGTTCTTGTTTTTATTGCTTCTAAAATACCTGAACCGCTTAAAAGTCCTTCCGAACTGACTGAACAACCCCGCTGAGACTGCTTCTGTCCCAAAAGTAAAAGGGGGGCAGTCTGTTTTGGCTTTTCGTGGTGCGCACCGTGCACTACGGTAAAGAGGCGGGCTTTGACCTACATGTGCGTCGCGTTTTGATTGACATGGCGGAGTCTCACAGTACGCGTAGCGCCGCGCCAGCAGACAGTCAAGACCGGACCCTGGGAATAAAAAAACGCGCAGCCCCGTCTGTTTGAAGATTATTTTATTGCAGCGAGGTGAGTTCTTTTACACTTCTTTCACAGCGCTTACTGCCCCGCAAAGAAAACGGGAACGAAGGGCGATGGAGTCGATGTTGAAAAAGTTTTTTAGAAGTGCGTGTCTGTGTGCGAGTGTGTGTGTGTGTGTATGTGTGTGAGAGTGAGTTTGGAGAGCCGAGCGCTGACGCCGGCAGTCTGGGCCACTTGGCCAGCGCAAAGGAAAAAGGAAAACTGCTCCACTGCTGCTGTTGCTGCTGCGGAGGAGTAGGAGGAGGAGGAGGGGGGGGTGAATCGAAACTTTTGGGCAAAAATGTCCCGTTTATTTGGAAACAACAAGGAAAAAAGCAAAAACAATGAGGGGGGGATTTACGCGTTAGTTCTTCACACAGGTCGAGTGAATGTGTGTGCGCGTTTGGAGCCCTGCTCTTTGTGGTCTCGATTTCTCAGCTTTCACGAAAGAATGTGTTTTTGTCTCCCGAGGACTTCAGATGGAGCGAGTGCGCAACAGGAGAAAACCTTTTCTCTTTGGCGTATTTCTGCGACAAATCGCGTAAATTGCGCCGCGACTCGCGTTCTGGAAATAGTCGGTCGCGTTGTAGCTGCTCAAAATCAGGAAATGAGCACTTTTTATAGCTGGAAAATAACTTGGAATGGAAGATGCTGAGGCAGTCAGATTTGACAGAGGGGGTTGCGAAATCTTTGAATTGACACTGTAGGGGGTTATTTTGCAGTGGATAGCTGTTGAGGAGTGTTGTGTTAGAGCGACTTTCCGTAGACTTTGTGTGCAGTTGCAGAATTCAGGGGGAAAAAAAAAAAGGCTTTTGGAGAAGAAAAAAAAGTCTCAACTCCAGCATATCCTAGCATTCCTTCCAGCCAGTCTCTCTCTCTCTCTCTCTCTCTCTCTCTCTCTCTCGCTCTCTCCCCCTCTCTCTCCCTCTCTCCCCCTCAGAAACGACTACGTGTCTGTCTGTGCAGGGAAGACAAGTCTCTCTCTCTCTCTCTCTCGATGCAGACGTGGAAATCAAACATTGGTCTCTCCTGCTTGGAAACGATCGATTATCTGCCTTCCACGTATCTCCATAAAAAAAAGAAAAGAAAAAGACAACACTGTATCAAAAAAAAAGAAGCCTTTTTAATTCATCAGTGGGTGACACGGTAGATGTGGCATGCATATAGGTCTGGAAGGCTAAGATGCAAAAGATGACTTTAAATGTAGATTAAAAAAAAAAAAAATTTAAGATGGGGGGGGGCTCCTGCTGTAGGCTCTGGATCCAGTGGGCACGTTGGAGAATATAGGCTAGGGGAAAAAATAACCCAACACATCACACACACACACACACACACACGCACCCACACGCATGCACGCACTTACTTTTTTCGTTGAGAGAGAGAGAGAGAGAGAGAGAGAAATCCGATCCCAAATACATGACGTCAGATGACATTCTTTTGGTGAAAGGCTGATGTGGCCATGTAATTTTTTTTTTCTAAGAAAAACTGATATCCGAGTTTTTTTTTCTCTTCTTCTCCTTGTAGAGAGGTGGAAATGATTGGCTGCCTGCTGGAAAAGGTGTGTTTAGGCTGTTTAGGTGAGAGCAAAGGAATTCTCTCTCTGCGGTGCATGAATGGGCAATTTATTTTGCTTCCACAAGTCAGAGGCATCAAAGAGTCTAAGCATCAAACGACTGAGGGTATAGTCACTAAGCAAAGGTATGGCCAGTAGGAAGTAGGGGAAAGACAGAGGCCTAATGTGTTCAATTTGCAGAAAGTCCCTGTAGTGTAAGTGTTTCTAGTTCCCCTCCCCCCTTTGAAATCTTTCAAAATGTCACATTTCTAAATCTGGACCTAACTCAGTTTTTCTTCTGCTCTTTAGCCCCCAGGATGTCTCTTTTGGTTTCTTAGGTCTCAGTCTGAGTTGTTTATCGAGCCCTGCAGCTCACGTTGATGTGTGTGTTGCATGCGAAACAAACACTAAAGGTGCTGCAGGATCGCGCAGTAGATCAGGGCGCCGCAAAGTCATGGAAATGAAGGATCTCTAGTGAAGGCGTTGTGTAGGTCTGAGCACCCAGGTAGCCTGCAGTTCAAGGTGCTGAGCTGATCTCCAAGGATAAGTGGAATGGATGTTTTCAAAGCAAAAACTTGGTGTTTTCATGGGTTAAGCGCTACACCCATATCCCTCTTAACACAAGATGAATGAGGTTTATATCACCATACACTGTTCTCTGAAAGTTAAGCCTCTTTGGCTTCAACATTTATACACAATAAGAATGTAAACAAAGCTCACAGGCCGGCATTTGAAAAGTTATGAAACCCTCTTATGTTTTCTTGTATTTGTAGCAAATTCAATAGAGGTTTGGATGGGAACTCTGATTTTAGCATTTGTAATGACAGTCTTTTTGTTTTTTTTGTACTTTTATATTTGTGTGTAGTTGGCTGTGTGGGGCGCCAAGAATGTGGTGCTAGAGGATGTACAACAGCATAATGTAAGCAGAGATTTTCACTCAGACTGATGCAACTGCAAGCAAGTGAATTTCTTTCCTCAAGTTGATGTCTGTCACTTGAAAAATACCTCCTCTTTCTCTCCAATGCACTGCAATTACATAACAGAACAGCAAGAACAGTGTTTAAACTGGAGTCAGGTTGAAGGAGGGTAGCCATTGTTGCTTTGGCCTTTCTCTGTCGTTCACATGAATAGTCAAAGGGTTGAATAACGCTTTATATAAGTTAATGACCTGTGTTCTGTAACCATTACATTTTTTTCGCACAGCTGCAACCCACTTAGTTGTTTCAGTCTGTGTGATTTCTCTCATTAGGAAGTACCTGTATTGTGCTTTCTTTTGACAGGCATGTTTTCTTGACAAGACTTTTTCCTCCTCTTGCAGGTGAAAATAAAACACAGAGATTGACATACAGTGACCCTGGTTTGATGGACTGATATTATTTTAGTGGAATGTGGAAGATGTTTAGCTTCTAATAGTTTTGAGACAGGTTATTCTAAGAGCAATGAGGAAGTTATTCCCGTGTTTCATGAGGACTCGTGATGCCAAGCGCATCCGTCCCCATCTAACCTCAGGCCTAATCTGGATTCTCCGCTTTCTGCCCACATAGACTTGCGGTTTGCTGTTGGCCCAATAAAACCTTCAGGTACGCCTGGTTGAAATGGGGTCAGGGAAGGGGCAGGATGATGCTAGCCATTGTGTGTTTGCGTGTGTGCATGTGTGACTGACTGGTAACCTAGAACATGTTATCCAAGGGGTAGTGTTACTGAGCAGTGCTTGTGTATCAGGAACAGAAGCTGGAGCGGCTATACAGTTACACGGACAAAACAATGCAGCTCTGGAAAAAGTGTGTGAGCATGTGAAATAGAGGCGAAGAATAAGAAGAGAGCTTCAGGTAAATCTCCTCTCTGTTTGTTTCTTTTTAGGTTAGTTTTCCACGAGTGAAAGCTTTTATAACTGTATTGTTATCATGTCTTTGTGCAGGTTATAGCTGCTACCAAATGTGCTTTAACATATACTGTCAGGCAAAATTCACTTTTGTGAGATACATACAAATTTTATGTGAGCAATTAAAACAACAACTTCTTTTGGGCTGCATTTTTTTGCTATTTTCAAACATTAGATAGACAAAAGTAATCAATTAATCTAGAAAATGATTATCAGATTAAGTGATAATGAAAATAACCTGCAGCTCTAGTCAATATAACTGGCTTAGTTTGTTTTTGCAAAACTAAACAAAGAATATCTTTTCTGCATTTATTTAGCTATTTTCAGATATTCTCAATCAATTAATCCAGAAAATAATCACCAGATTATTTGATAATGAAAATAATTTATAGCCCTAGTCAGTATAGGACAGCAGTGATTTAGCTGGTGTCTAAGCCCTGGAAGCACCCATTTATCATCTGCAGTTCTTGGTGTATCTGCAAATAATCATCTATAATTGCTCTTTATATATACTGATAAGGCCTGTTTAAAATGGTGCAGTTGACCCTGATCAGCTACCCACATTTGGAATATTTCCTCTCCATAAATTGGTATGCCTTTTCTATGTACAGTACTAAACTATGTCTGCAGTCTGCATAATGTCTGCGATCAGTCGTACCATCTGTTTCTCCAAATGCAACAGGTGTGCTTCCCAGAAAGATTGCTGGCTTAACTGTTACTGTTAGCGGTTTGGTCAAGTGAACAAGCTGCTTCGTTGCCTGTGTTAAGAGGTTTTCTTATTGGATGTGCGGAGGCGTTCCTGTTAGGTCAAGGGGTCGACACCTGGATAGTTTCTACAGTTTCTCCTCCTCTTGTCACTGTAACCTGTCTGTGCTGATGATGCACAGTGAAGCATGTAGATTGTCCCTGTGGTGGAGCAGACCGGTATGTTTGCCTTGAAATACGTCTCTGCTGCAGCTGCTGTGACACATGATGGAGTGCAGGGAAGCTCTAGATGAAACACCAATCTAAACTTATGTGACCCACTGTGTCATTTGACATGTCTTAACACAAGTGGGTTTATTATTAACCTGACAGAAATATTCTTGCAATAGATTAATAATTCCTTATTAGGGCTGCAACTAACAATTATTTTCATTGCTGATAATTCTGCCATTTATATTCTCAATATGTGCATTTCCATTGTGGTCTAAAGACCAATTAAGTTTAGGCAAATTAGTCTGTTGAGATATGAAAAAGTGACAGCTGTTTCATTTTTGCTTGCAACTATACAACAACTTTGTCATCGATCCATCTGTCCTATGCTTTCCTCTGTACATGGTGGCTGAAATGAAACACTGAGTACTCTGTGAGTACCCTGTAAGCCCCACCAAAGGTTCCCAGTCCCTGAGGAAAGTTCCTGCAGTGGAACCAAGGCTTAAGAGTTGGATTTTCATTTTACAGTTTCCTACTTGTTTGTATTCATATGTCATATACTGATGCTGCTCCTCTTACACTCTTGACTTTTCGTTCAGCCTAATACACAACTACCGGATTGTAAAGAACCTTCCAGTCCTCATTAAAAAAAAGTTTGGCCACTGTGGGATGATGTTAGAATGTGCGTATGCATTTCTGATGAAGTTCTTAGTTTATTTTGTATTTATATGTATGTGAGTGAACAAAGTGTTATCAGTTACGGTGAGATTGTAATAAAAAATTGGTGACTCGGGTTAGAATTAGGTAAAATTAAACCTGCAGGCACTGTGTTATACTGTATCATGTAAACAGATACCAAATAAAATCTGCATGTGGGTGCAAAGTCTAAAAAAGACAACAACTTTATGTCCTATCTCATGACGGCAGCTGGTTATCTGCTGCTTTGTGCTTTCACTTTCCATTTCCCAGCTCTTCCTCCATGCCACTGTTGGTTGTCTGACTGTCTCTCTCCTGCGTGCTCTCTCCCTCTCTCCCTCTGTGTCTTGGTGTCTTTTTCTCTCCCATATGAACTGCAGCTTTTTGTTGAAGTATCCCAGCATCTCATGTTTGCTTGGCACAGAGCTGTAATGTTTACCCTCCTCCTCTCTTTCTTTCTGCCTTCCTCCCTCCTTCCCTTCCTCTTTCGTTCTCCAGTCTCTCCTTTTTGTCTCCCTTGATAATTTCCTGCATTGTTGACAGTTGATTTAGAAGAAGATAAAAGAAGCCTTTCAACTTCTCTACCCCCCCCCGTCTCCCTCCTCCCCTCTCCTTTCTCATTGCCCTCTCCTCTCCCCTCCTCTCCTCTCCTCTCCTCTCTCCTCTTCTCTCTTATAGCATAACGTGTAATGCCAGACAGTCTCAGTCATGTTTGTCTCTAGTTTTACAAGTTTCAGTGCAAATTATCTGACATTTGGAGAAATGTGACGCCTCCTCTGACCCACTATTATTGCTGCTATTAAATCTAAAACTGTCATTGAAGGTCATTGAAGTTCTCAGCAACCCTAAACCTTCTGCTAAAAGAAAAGCAGATCTCGTGGGCATAATTAAATTTTAAGTAAACAAACTTAATAACAAGTCATTAACTTATTTGATGGTTTATAATAATAATAATAATAATAATAATAATAATAATAATGATGATAATAATAATAATGATAATTAAATGAATAATAATTATTAGATGTTTTATGTTATGAATGATAAGAGTAAGGCTGCAACTAATGATTATTTACATAATTGATCATTGATCATTTATGCAAGCTGTCTTGTTCTTTCCAACCAGAAGTCCAAAACCCACATTTTTCAGCAAGTTTGGAGGTTGTTCTGATGTCTGGTTTCTAATATTCATCAACATAATGTGGCATTTGCAAAGCATTTTGGAATGAAAGCTTTCATGCTACATTGTGCATAAGCAAGTAATGAGCTTGAAAACACCTTCTTGCGTGTCTATTGATGGGCATTTTGCAGTATTTTATGGGATTATGTAGAACAAGGAGGTACCAGGAGGTTGTATTGTATAGTTTAGTAAAACATATTATAGTACAGTACAGTATTGTATAACTCTGTGAGGGGATAGGCTTTCTGTGCAAATGACAGCAATGTTTGCACAGCTTTGATACATTTGAATACACAACATTGTTGGCGCATGATGCAACGCGTGACTTCACCAAAAAACTCTCACTTCTCTAGTTGCTGAAGTTAATCGTTGCTCATCATTTGGTGTCATATGAAAGGTCTTGACAGCAGCTGTGTGGCTGCTCTAGAGACAACAGTCAGAGTGGTAGACAGAGTGACACTGGAGAAAGACAGCAGATGATGAAATCAAAGGATTATGACAAAGAGATGAAGTTTTTGGAATCCAGAAATTACTCTGGCAAGTTTCTCATCAATTTCTTTTCTGTTGGTAAAGTTTTGGGTATACATGCATGCAGAAAGGCTAGAGTGATTCACAGGAGGTGTGTAGCGCTCGGCTGCCCTGCTCGTGCCCTTGCACAGTTCCTCGGGGGTATCATCCATAGAAATAGCTTTTTGAAGAGCTGCACACACGCACGCACACACACACACACACACACACACACACACACACACACATAAACACACACACTGAGCACAGACTTAACACACATGCATGAAACATACACACACACACACACACACACACAGCGTTAACTTTACGTGCCTGCATTAGCATGCCAGGCGTGTTGGTCTAGTTGGCAGGCCCATGGAAAGTTCCGCCAGTCGTTAATGGCTGTTTTTATGCCTGACTGTGAGCGTTACAAGTGTGTATCTCAAGGGTCTTGAGTCTGCTGTGGTCTTAAGGTTCGTGAGTGTGTGTTGGAGTAGGGGAACTGAATCTGTAACGGGTTATATGTCTGATTATTGTGTGACTGGAACTGGAATTGGAACTAGTACATGCGCACATTTTCAAGTATGCTTCTTTCTGCGGCGCGTGTCACCATCTGTGTGTGTGTGCATGTTGTCACACGCTGTCACATGTTGGCGGTACCCGCCAACATGCAGGGCAGAGTCGAGTGTTCTGCTCAGGGAGGAAGTAGGTGTTTTTTAATGCAAAGCCACATGTTTTTATTGCTTTCCCTTGTTAAACCTACCTCCTCCTTCCCTTCCTCCCCCCTCCAGGGCATGCAGACACACTTCGACCCTTCCCCTCCCCTCCTCTCACCCTGTCTTTCCCCCACCCCTCCCAGTTCCACATACCTGTCATTTCTCCTTTTTGTTCTTTTGCCACTCACAGCCCATTTCCACAAGGCTGATACATTTGAGGATGCTGGTGAATTTCAGCCACACTACCAGTTGTAGGTAGTTTTCAGTAAGTAAGTCAGTTTGTAATCTACATTGAAAATGACACCATAGACCTTAGTACAGGTTAATGACAACACCTGTATTGTGTTATTGGCTGTACCAACTTTCAAAATGAGTGCACATGATTGCATCATCATTTTGGTAAAGCTTTATTGACTTCAGAGAGAGTATTAAAAGATGTATTTAAAGATTTATCAGACTTGGTGTAGACATGGCCTCCCCTATTTTCCTTCACTTCACCCCTCCTTGCCCTAAAGCCGGACCCCCCACAAATCACTGAAACATCCCAAACACACATCACACACAGGCAGGCAGAAACACACACTACCACTCTCACACACCCACATCCCCAAACTAGTGTGTGAAATCCTGAGGCTGATTGAAGAGGAGGAATGTGACCTTGCGACCCCAGGCTGTGGGGAGGGGTGTTATAAGTGTGTGTGTGTGTGTGTGTGTGTGTGTGTGTGTGTGTGTGTGTGTGTGTGTGTGTGTGTGTGTGTGTGTGTGTGTGCGTGTGTTTGATGTTAGGGAGCAAGTGATTGTATGTACACTTTCCATTGGCTGGCTATTTCCAGAAATGTCCTCTCTCATTTTTCAGCCCATTTCAGCTTTGTTCTAATGGATTAAACACCGCCTGCTCTCTAGACACACACACACACACACACACACACA